GGGGACGAGGCCGAGGAGAAGAAAAACGCCCCTAAAATCACCCAAAACTCCCCTAAAACCGCCCAAAAACCACCCGAAATCCCCCCAGACCCGCCCCAAATCCCCCCAAAATGCCCCAAAACCCCCGACCCCCAAAGACCCCCCGGGACCCCCCCTCAAGAGTCAGTTGAGGATGAGGAGGAGGAAGAGCAGCAGGAAACCCCCCCCAAAAAACCCCCCGAAATCCTCTGAAACCGCCCCAGACCCGCCCCAAATCCCCCCAAAATGCCCCAAAACCGCCTCCCCTGACCCCCAAAGACCCCCCGGGACCCCCCCTCAAGAGTCAGTGGAGGATGAGGACGAGGAAGAGCAGCAGGAAAATGCTCTGGAATCGCCCTAAAACCCACCCCAAACCCCCCCAAATCCCCCCGAAACCGCCCCAAAACTCCCCGAAATCCCCCAAAACTCCCCCAAAATGCCCCAAAACCCCCTCCCCCGACCCCCAAAGCCCCCCCCTCACGGGCAGTAGAGCACGAGGCCGAGGAAGAGGAGGATGTAGTTGCTCTGGAAGCGCCCTAAAACCCACCCCAAACCCCCCTCAAAACCCCCCGAAACTGCCCTAAAACCCCCCAAAATCCCCCAAAACTGCCTCCCCGACCCCCAAAGACCCCCGAGACCCCCCCTCACACTCAGTAAAAGAGGAGCAGGAGGAAGAGGAGCAGGAAAACCCCCCTAAACCCCCCTAAACCCACCCGAAATCCCCCCAAAACCACATGCAATTCCCCCAGACCCGCCCCAAAATGCCCCAAAATCCCCCAAAATGCCCCAAAACCGCCTCCCCCGGCCCCCCGGGCCCCCCCTCACAGGCAGTAGAGCACGAGTCCGAGGAAGAGGAGGATGTAGTTGCTCTGGAAGCGCTCGGCGTTGCCCCCCAGGCGCCGCAGGAGCTCCCCCAAATCCCGGGGGACCCCAAAACGTCGCTGGTCCAGGAAGGACCCCCAGGGCCGGACCCCCGCCCGCCGAGCCTCCAACCACTGCCGGGCACGGCCGGGGGGCAGCGACCAGGGCAGCCTGGGGGGTCCGGGGGGGGTCCGGGGGGGGG